TGACATCTAGCGGACACACAGTGCGTATACTTGATTTGCATGTCATGCGGGTTAAATCAGGCAAGGAGAAATGGGTCGCCATGGTTGACAGTGCAGCCTGTACGGTTACTAGTCGGAACACGATGCGAGGGCAGCGTATCAAGAAAGGCCCCAAGCTCTTGCTCGGATAGCGTGGCGAGGTTAACGAATGCTCTCCCAGCCCTGTCGATGGACCTGTAGGCGAAACGTGTTCTATTTTGGCGTAGGAGCGTCAAGTTGTAATCCTCGTTTCGTTACGAATTCAAGAACTTGACATTATACCAATGAGCAGCAAGCTACGTCAAATTGCCCAAAGACGTTTTGATGCTAATGCCCATTTCAGCCACTTAGCAACAAGATAAGTAGGTCAAGCTGACCAGGATGGCAGGTTTGATGTTAGGTTAGTTGATCTTAGGCATCTTTAGATTCGTTTTTTATACAAGCCTATCAGTAAATCGCAATTTTGAGTAGGCCAATGGCCTCTTATATCATCTTTTTCTCAACCAATCAGTAACAAGAAATACGAATGAATAGCAAAATTTAGCTGGCCTATTAAAATCGTCAGCCTATCATAAATTTGTCGAGAATATTTGTCCAATGACTTGATTACCTCATAAGCCAATCCGTAACAAGTAATGTGATATTATTGGCAAAAGGCAAATTCACATTTGGCCATTGGGTTAACTCATGAGCCAATCAATGGCAAGTATTATATCATTTAATGGTGTCATTCAAACACAGTATTATAGCGCAAATAACACTGCACTGGAATTTGTAATAATAGAGCTGTTACGGTTGTGTGTGCTGATGTTACAGTAATGCTGTCGTGTGATGTGTGTTAATGCTGTTATGCGATGTGTGTTGAACGCAAGTCATTTTTTATAACAGTTATAACAGTGTTTAATTGTGCTATTCACTCAATGAAGATCTGTGCAAAAACATTGGACTTGAGACTGCCGTCTACAATCCTTCTTTGTCATTCGGATTTTACCCAGTCTCTCACGTCGATCCGAGATCGAACGAAACTCTTCCCCGACTGATGGACGATCACATCTCATCTGCCCGTCCAGACGAATCCATGGGTGTGGAGGCCATCACGGAACAAGTAGAACCCAGTCTGCTATTCGAAATGGTGCACATGCATCAATCTATCGTGGAACATTATCAGCACTTGGTGGTATTTGAACCGGACCTACTATTTCGTCTGGCTCCTTCGGTCACCACGACGAAACAATGGGAATCGATGCGACGGATGTCGCCTCAGCCATTCCAGCCCCGACCGGTACGAGTCTTGACCTTGTGAGCGTGGCTGACGACGAAGTCCTCTTAGCAGCAGCTCTGATGACGAGTGTAAAAGTCAGCCTGAGCCTGCCCAAGGCACCCCTGTCCAGAAATGAAGCGAGTCATCAACTACTGAATCCAAACCACTCCAACTCGCCCGAGCAACGAGACTTGGAGAAACGAAGCAAAGCGGCCGAAGACTCGGACGAGGCCGCCGATACAACTTCGACTACCGCTCGTCGTGAACTGGTTTCTCTCCTCGACGACGAGAGTGATGTATCCATGGAGCCCCGAAGTTCTTCTGAAGAGCTTGTATACACAGACGATATGGCTGAAGCTAGCTCCGACGAAAACAAGTCAGAAGAGTCCATCTTGACTGAGGGCAACGATGACGATACGCTGACCTAGTCTGTTGTCCCGCTCACCTCTACAGGTCCGATTGCGTGCTTGGACTCGAACGACTCGTACTCCTCGTCAAGTCCTACGCCTGGGACGTTATCGCTACTGACCTCTGGCGTGCAGTCTACGACCGAAACAATTCATCACTTGGCTCAAGTGTCCACCCACGCCCATGGCGTACCAGTCTTGATGGAATCTACGCATGTGGTGACGACTCACACCGTCCAGGTTAACGCTGAAGTCCAGCTGACTGTGGCGAGACGAGCTTCTCCCGAAAACTACGAAACCAGTTTAGTACTGGGCCAGACGAGATCGCGCTTTGACTCTTCGTCG